AAATGCAGCCTTGATGAGCATAAGAGACTTCTTTAAAAACATTACCAGCCTTACTGATCCCAAACTTTTGACCGGTAGTGTATATTTTTTTAATGTAATTTCTATAACAGTGTATTTCTCCTGCAGCCCTTGTGTTTCCTGCATCTCTCTGTGTTTGTGGATCTCATGGCTGCTGTTTGGCAACAGGTGCTGGCAGTGGACGCAAGGTGTGTGCAACATTGGAATGGAACTCCATGTATATATATGTACCTTTTTTACATGTGTAGGGCCTAATCATTTGTTATATTATTCTCTATTTTCTGTCCTTCTGCCTCTTTTTGTCTTTTTCCTCAGGTACAATGCTTACCGTACACCTACGTTCCCCCAGTTCCGCACGCAGTACATCCGCCGGCGCAGCCAGCTGCTCCGCGAGAATGCCAAGTGTGGCTTTGAGCCGGGGCTGCGCAGGCAGTATCTGCGTCTGCGCAGTCAGTTGCTCGCCCTGCGTTACGGGCCTCTGTCAGAGCAGAGCAGCTTCAGAGCCAGCAGTGTGCGCAGTTCCCGCACCACACTGGATCGCATGGAGGTTAGGTGCATTCAGAAACAGGGAAAAGGGTTCGAGAAATGCAGATAAGGAGTTCTGGGTTGAAATAAGCCCTAGAAAAAACACAGACAGAGGGCAAGATAGAACATCTATATAGTCCTTGATATAAATAGCAATCCAGATCCAGGTCTTTGTGTTGTGTGAGAGCTGCTGTGCATGTAGATTGCAAACTCTTTTGTGCATGATGGGCTTTATGTTGCTGTAGTGCTAAACTCTAAAATCATTCTTCATTACTGCCTGCTTTCATATTTTCTTGGTCTTTTTTATTCTCTTCTCTGTCTTTCAATCAGGACTTCGAGGAGGATCCCAGGGCTCAGGGTGCCAGAGGCCACCGGAGATCAGTAAGCCGTGGTTCATACCAGCTGCAAGCCCAGATGAACAGGGCAGTGTATGATGAAAGGTAAAGTCCACTAATTTTTTCATCTGACAGATGTTTGCAGAATGCAAAATGCTATGAAATGCATATTATTTTGTGACAAAGTGTGACATGCTTAAGCAAAACAGGCACTATTATTAGAATCGGCACCCCAAAATTAATAAGAAACAAGTATTGGATTTCATTAAGCAAATATGATGCAGGGTGTTATTACTGTGTTTTGCACTGTGTACCAGTATGAATAATTCTCTGGTTCTATTTCATGTGCCAGGCCTCCAGGTAGCCTCGTGCCCACATCGGTGGCCGAAGCCAGTCGGGCAATGGCAGGTGACACCACCCTAAGTGAGAACTATGCCTTTGCCGGAATGCACCACATCTTTGACCAGCATGTCGACTCAGCTGGTGAGTGAGCTGTTAATGACACGACTAAGATGACCAACAAAAATGACTCTAGTCTATACCAATTTTTTTATTGATGGGCAGTACCTTAGAGAGCAGGGTGAAACAATGTCAATACAAAGCCTATTTAATTTTAAAATAGTACGTAACAAATGCTGCATGCTACAGATTTATCGACATTATACTTACTAAATTAGAAATAAAGCTTTATATATATATATATATATATATATTCAGTGCTGCTTGAAAGTTTGTGAACCCTTTAGAATTTTCTATAATTCTGCATTTCTGCTAGAGATGCACCGATCGACCGGCCAGGGACCGGAATAAGCCGATTTTCCGCATGATCGGCCCG